GGGGGGGTTTGTTCATAAATATATAGTCATGTTAGGAGGATGCTTGAGGGGAGCGCTACATCTGTATCATCTTAGCTTAGCAGTAACTGTTACGCTGTAAGACGCAGCAGGTGTAAGAGACGCTGTGTAAATAAAATGTGCATTAAAGTTGAAATGTCTTTAAAACCCCCACACCTTATTGTCCTCCAGCTTCGTGAGAAACATCCTTTAGAAGAGGCGTGTTGAACACAAGTAAAAACGTCTAGTGGTGGTGTTTTTTATTTCTCCATAAACACAAATAGTGCAGACCTGATGCTGTGTGTTAAAGTGCATTAAAGTTGAAATGTCTTTAAAACCCACAACTGAATGTACACAAACTTAGTGAGAAACATGCTTTAAAAGGAATTAAAATAAGGAAATCTAGACGAAATGTTGCTTTTTTGAACACTGGTGCGCGCACGTATTACAGATGATTCTGATGATGATGCCCATGCCCTCACTCTTGGTTACTCTACTGAATGGGCTAACACAAACTGTCACATAATGATCATAACTAAGCTAAGAAGAACAGACTAATCACTAAAAGAACAATGCTAAACAGCTAACCGAGATGATTAACAATGAGCATAAATTTTACCCATAATTCCTTCCTGAGGCCATGTGACTGACAGTCAACCACAGCAGAATGCTACGTACCAGTAACAAACACAAATACGTACAGTAAACGTTTTTTTTAATGAACAGTGCTGGTAACGAGCACGGTTAACGGTAAAGATAAAAAAAAAACCACAGTAGCCACAGGAAGTCATTGATCACTATCTTCAACTTCCTCCTGCACACTTTGCCCTCCTCCCTAGGGGCACAATGGGGGGGGGGGGGGGGGGGACAAATTTTCTCCCCATCACTAACAGACCAATAAAACCAACTTCCATTGGTCCACTGTGACCCTGTTCGGCATTTTCATTGGTCAGATTGTTTTAACCTTTATTTACACATGTAGCTTCATTGAGCTACAAGGACCCACCCACCAAAAGAGACATGTATTGTGCAGCTCTGTGAGTGCCCAAGTGTGACGAGGCTAAATGTTTTGACAGCATGAAGCTCGTTAGCCCATCCAAAAATAAATAACACATAAATTACCTGCAGCAGCTGCGGTGTTCAAAGTCTGTGCAAAAAGTAACGGCTTATAGTCCAGAAAGTACGGTAATTGTTTGGGCTTGTGCACTGTGCAGTCACTGAATCAGTCATGAACATCTCTGTAAAACAAAGCAACTTAGATGTTGCAAAAATGTCATTGCAAATGTATAAATCGCCCTGCTTTTGTCACATAAATAGATGCCTGCAATTGTAATAAACCGAAACAGCATGGTAAAAAGATGAAAATCTGTCCTCAGTCTGATCAGGCCACGTGCAACTATCAGTTTAGTTTCTTTGCACACTTTTATTTGAACATTTCTTTGAAAAGATGAAGTCACTGTTTCATGTTCTTTGCTGTTGTAGATCTGAGTCATGGTTTTTCCCCCTGTCATGTCTATCGTGTCATAACCCTGGCTATTTTTGATGAACCCCTCAGGACGTGCCTGACCTCTGTGGATAAGAACACAGCACTGAACGGAGCCGTTTACAGCAGCTCAGCATGCTCCCTGTGGACCAGATGTTTACTAAAATGCTACTGTGATGCATCTGAATGCAGCGGAGACAGTAAATCTAATGAATATTCATTCATAAAATAATTAGTTTTCAATTATTGTGAGGAAATAATTGTTTACATTTTTATGACTTTTCCCTGAAAAATTGTTTTGTACATAAACAAATTATACTACAAAGAACTTTTGTCTTCTTTTACCCAAGTACATCACCCATGCTGTTGGACTTGTGAGTGGGCGTAATAATTATATATATTTTTTTCTTCAATCCCCCTAGAATACAGAGTACACAACCATGCTTCCATTGACTTTAATTTTGTTTCATCTAAAAAAAAAAATTCTCTTCAAAACTGGAAATTATGGCTCTTTCTAAAAAACACTGTCAAAACATAAAACTATCAGATTTGATCACCAGAGCCTTCGGCCGCTTACAAATCAAGAATTTTTAAGATCAGACCTATAGTCTTCGTAAAACAATTTCTGGTTTGAGGCTTATTTTTTGGTTTGTATTTCTGTCAGCTTCTCATTAACTTAGCAGTCAGGGAGTGAGAGACACTGGTGATTCATAGCCAGAGTTAACATGGTGACCATAATAATGAGACCGGGGTAGAAGCTTTTCAATGTGAAGTTTAAACATCAAAATGTAGGGGTTTGTTTGTCTTAGATGATTTGATTATTAAAATGTTACGATGGAAATTTTGGTAGCAGCTGCTTTGAAATGACAAAAATCTTGAACAGTATGTATGTATGTATGTATGTATGTATGTATGTATGCATGTACAGTATGTATGTATGTATGTATGTACAATATGCATGTACAGTATGTATGTATGAATGTATGAATGTATGTATGTATGTATGTATGTATGTATGTATGTATGCATGCATGCATGAACAGTATGTATGTATGTATGTATGTATGTATGTATGTATGTATGTATGGATGTATGTATGTATGGATGTATGGATGGATGGATGGATGGATGGATGGATTGATTGAT